ATCATATGTTGAGCGTTGTAGGTGCTTATTGTCGTATAGTCGAATTAGAGTATACTGTGTCTAGCATTAGATAACTGCAGTTTTAAATCTAGCCATCATGCTGGTTCCTTGTAAAATAAGAACCATATCACTAAGTGCAATGGTCAAAGGTACTAACATCGAACTATTTAAGACATTTCCTTATCTAAAATCATAAATTTATATTAGCCGAACCACCGTCGAAAACTTGGAAGAGATAGACGGCCAGCTGATCATAGTAAGACACTCCTCAGTAGTGCGTACTCATGAACTTTAAGTTCCGTGCGCGGACGCTGAACCTATAGGCTACTGAGTCAATATCCAATGGTGTTAATGTCTAACTCAAACCAATTCACAATATTCCGCGACTATCTTTTATTACGTGCAATGAATAACCGTATCACACTCGGCATGGTTGAACTCTACTGGTTACTGCATGTTACTATGATCAAATAATAGTAACCTACTAATATCCTCTACTCTTACCGGCCATGTTTCACTGCCATAAAGTAGGACGGAACAAACTGCTGCAAAGTAAACACATCCTTTGGTTGATAGGCGGATATCTCGCCTACGCCATAAATGACGCAAGTTGGCAAAAGCTAGTCGAGCCTTCTGTATCCGTGCTGAGACGTCATCGCACAGCAGACCACGTGAAGAGGTCGACACGCTCAACTACTTCACTTCCTAGTTGAGCGTGCGTTCTCCCAAATTCTAATCTCCTGATTCCTCCTTATCTCTTTTTTTTCTCTTCCCAAATTTATTTCACCGGATTATATTCTTTAAATAACATCTCCAAACCCTAATCTTTCCGATTATTGCTTATACTCTTACCACCTCTATCACTACGTGATTTAAATCGACAACTGCATCTCTGTGCTAATGTGGTATGGCAACTCGAACTGATGTACGTACGTACGAAGATCTACGTTGTTACTGACTGACTGGCTGCATCTTACTAGAATTTTGAGAGTTTCATTTCGAAGCTAGAAACTAGCGAGCACATAATTATTAATTAGTATGTAGGGATTTGTGAAGATTGTGGACTTATCATTAGTTTTAATCACTATATGATCTTAGTTAGACCATTATTTATAAACAAACTACAAGCACAGGATAAGTGTTACGTCCTAGTATGGTGGAAGTGGGCTGACACCTCAACAATACTCTTCGACAGTCTTGAATGCACAACCAAAAGTACTAACATTTATCTCTATAATTTATATAATTTCAAACGTATTATTTTCTAGTCAACTATTCTATCCTATTACAGATTTACTTGTTATATCCATTGTATAAGAAAACCATTATCCTGATAGAAGAGAAATGAAAAGAAATTTTGTTTGTTTGTTTTTTCAACAACAAAAAACCCCTCTTAAAAAAAGAAATCAAGAATACGAAATTCAATAAAATTCCAATTCATGCACAATTATTATTTTTTTCTTTTTTTAAAAATTGAAATCTAAAACAGATTGTTTATTGTTACTATGGATATTATCACCACCAGCACCACCACCACTACTACTACTACTAATATCATTTATCTCAGTAGTAGTAATAGTAGTTTTTCTTCAAATATCTACATGATACTGTATTGCTACTTATTTTTATTTGCATACATTATTAAATTAAACCATATTTGGTTTGTTATTATTTTTGTAAGAAATAAGTATAGATAATGCGTGCAATTCTATACATACATACATAAACAGATAACCATAACCCACATACATTTCAATCATTATAACTAAGTCAATTTGTTCCATGATATAAAGAAAGAACTTACTTGTTGCTATGGTTGTTGTTGTTGACAGTTTGATCTTTTATCCAACTTTTTTTTGTTTACTTTACGTATTTAAATGTAAATAGAATTTTGTTGATTTTTCGTTTGATACTTTGTGTCTGGTATTATGTTTATCTTGTTTTTTTTTAAATGAAGTCTTCCTAAATTACAATTTTCTAGAAAAGAAAATGCATATAAATATTGTAATCATGATAATATTAATACTACTTATTTCTTATAAATACTACTTATTTACTTGTATCTTCTCATTGATGTTTAAGACTACCATTGATTAGTCTCTTATTGGGATAGGTACATCCTGTGTGGATTGCATCGATATTGCCTTAGATCACAAATTTTATAAGCAAAGATAGATAGTGGCTAGCAGTTGGGATACAGGACGCGTGTATCGTTCTGTTTGGGACTCGTCAGATGGATGTACCTACATCTCAGAGGTGGTTTTCACTTCGGGACTTAAACCCACCAGTGTTCTCTTCAAACGCCCTCCACTTAGCTACTGAGTCCTTATAGCCACTTGCTTGTACAATGGGGTGAAGTTTAAATTCACTTGATATTGTTTGCTTGAATCTTCCCATTGTTATTTAGAACTGTAATTGATCGGTCTCATATTGGCATATGTACATCCTGTGTGGATTGCCTTAAGTCAAAAGCTTTATGAGCAAAGATAGGTAGGGGCTAGTAGTGGAATACAGGACGCGTGCTTCGTCCTATTTGTGACTCGTCAGCCGGATATACCTAGTTATTATCAATTCCAAAATTATATGGGAGGTACTTCTTATAACTTATGGGAAATACTTTCTGATTTTCGAAAATAAAATGACTGCAATGGATGATTGGTTCAGTAGGGGAAGTGATTATTATTGTCTATAAGAATATTACACAGATATGTGAATAACAAAAATAAATTATCACATGGTTGTCCCCCTTTCTGAGATGAATACTTGTATAGATTTTGATGATCTTGTTAGTGTGAATGCGCATTATTGATGAGTTTAGTACTAAAACGAAGCGGATATTCAATGATTCCTAATTTTGTTTAACTATAATCAATACTGCACAAACTCATTTTACATTTCAACAGTCAACTATTTCAATGTTCCAAACGATTTCAAATAAATCTCTACGGGTAAATAACTCTTCGAAAGGAATAGCTCAGTGCAGTTACCATTCATGCTGTTTGTTACGCTTAGCGGACCTAATTAATTGAATGTCCTTAGCCAACCATCTTGATTTTTCATTAGTGTAGCTGCTAAACTGAAGTAGTAGTTTGAGTTTTTTATCGAACACTCGCTTTTTAAGTCCTATAGTGCTACAAAGCTTGATTGGAGAACAATAAAACTGAAAGCAGAAGTTTAAGATTCTATGATGAAGTTCCAGTGCAAACTATACTGGAATGTGAGAAAAGAAGGATGTTCCCTTCAGACAACCAGTATTTGCAGCAATTTCGCGTCCATGAAAATGGGAGGTTAGAGAAAACCTATCCCAAAAATAGCATACCTCAGTTCTCCGCACACATCTTCATCGCCGGCGACAAGGTCTTCAAAATACGGAGTCAACCCTTCAAGAACTTTGAGATGGTGGAGAAGACTTGTAGCTCAGGTGGATGATTTTGGTGGAGTTTTGTTCTCTGAGCTGGATGGTCACGACCAAACCATCCAGCTCAGAGAACAAAACTCCACCTTCAAGAACTCACAAACTGTCCGTAGGTAACCAGTCTCAAGCAATTATCCCCACTATTATGCTGTCACTAACTTCTCTAGTGATCCACCTTTGCCAGGTCCATCAAAAAGTATTCTTCCATATTGTGAGGAACTGTTCATTCACCTCTAACAGAACACGATAGTATGGCTTTAACATTGCACTCCTTATTTCTTTTTAAGTGGTTAACTACTATCTCCAACTGTAACACATAAATTGTGAGGCATACATAAGTATATAAAAAACGAACAATTTAGTATGTTAATTTATCACTTTGTTTACTGAACCGTGACTGCTCACCTATAAGAAATAAGTTAAGTATACAAACAAAAATCACTAACACTCTAATTCATGATATGTTCTTTATTAATTACTTTTAAATGTTTAACAAACAACTATAGACACTTTTCGATGGGTGTTGTTTACGAAATTGTGAAGACGAAAAGCGAATGTCTGGCACTTTAACCGGCTTAGTACACAAGGAGAGTCAACCTAGGGGAGTTGAAAAACCCTGATTCCAAACTAATGGTGTACATCAGTTCCAGTATCCTGAAGGAACGAATTGCGTGTGAACCTATTATTGATCACCAGCTAACATAGGACTGCATCTCCATACGTTTCTCCACTGTCTTATGGATTAGTACTTCAGATTAAAGACTCTGGGGGAGGTGACCCTCTAAGAAAACCACCTGCTTTGGTTTGGGCAACCGAGCAGTAACCTAGCCCTCGCGAAAATCGAATGATTTATGTGGTGCATATCTATTTGGTGCCTCCTTGTCAGTCAGCTACAACGTAGGACCAGGCACATATATGCATCGGTCCAAGTTGCCATACCGCATTAGCACAGCAAGATCAACACCGGATTCATAGGAGTGGTTAAGTCAATGGTGGTAATATATAAAAGAAGGATTGCATATAAGGATATAGTACAGGAAGAGAGATTTAGTACGTAGAAAGAAAGATATGAAGCGATTTTAATCTCTTAGTTTAAGGGAAGACAGGGAGTGTATACACCGACGCCATTGTGATCGATTCTGAGCCATTTCACTAAGTCTCCAAACATAGGTTACGATAGTCACACGGACCCCAATCAAGTAGTCTGCATCTACCAACATGGTTAAGACTAGAAGTTAGTGACTTCAATGACTGATGCCACGTTTTGGTTTGTCCGCCCCTAACTTTCTTCCAACTATTCCCTACACCAGTCAGCATTACGCGTCGTGGTAATCGGTGTCCAGACATACGCAACATGCGGCCCAACCATTTCAGTCGATGAAGATTCCCAACCTCATCAACTGATTTACCATCATTCCCTAATACCCTGCGTCTAACATCACTATTACTAACCCGGTGATCCCAGCAGATGCGAGCAATATTTCTAAGGCATCTATGGTCAAATACTAACAGCGTACGAGTATCTTCGACTCGGTCATGGCCATGTTTCGCATCCGTAAAGTAAAACAGAACGAACTGCCTTCTTGTACCCATGTTTATGTGTTTAAATAGACAAAATATCGACAATAATGAATCATTTACATAATACATAGTACCATTTCATTAATTGAATTCAATGAATAAAAAGTAAATTACAATCTTTATCAATATATTTCATACATAAATTACAATAGAAATCTACAGAACTGTACATCAAATAATAATAATATATAAATAATCTTTTCATTATTGTTATGTACATTCATCCATTTATAATGAATATATATCATTAGAAATTACAACTGGAAAGAACTGGAAAGAATTGTCCAGTACAGGGTTGGATGGAGAATGCTGGTGATGAGCGGCCTATGCTCTTTCACAAGGAGTAACAGGCGTAATTCATTAAGTAATTATTTATCATTAGAAAAGAAAAATAGAGAGATACTATTATTGTGTTAATAATTCCGGTGGTAAATGACCAACATCTCCAAGACGATTAAGTGTTACTATTGAACCATATCTTAATTTTTTTGTATATTTCACTTCATCATCATCATCACTATTATTATTATTGTCTTCTTTAGAATGAATTATGAATTCATCATTTGTAATTAACAATGTACTAATACTTCCATGTCCTAAACTTAAACGTAACCATCCTTCAATTGGTAATTGTAATAATTTACAAATCCAATAACGAAATACATTAGCATGACCAATAAATACAATTGTTTCAATTGGTTTATATTCTATCATACGATGACATGGACAATCACATTGAATTATATTTATAATAGAATTATTTTTTAAAATAGAACAACAATTATTAGGACAATACAATGGACCATTATATGCAATAATACCTTGTTTTGTAATTGGTTTACAATGTAAATGTATTTGAAATCCTTCATCGATACGAATACCTTCTGTTGAACGAATATTATCAGATTTTTTTGTAGATGCTTTAACACCATCACCACCACCACCCCCGAAAAAAATGAAATAAAATATTCATATAAGAATAACAACAGTAAATGAGGATTACACACATATGAACAGTGGTAACAATACTTAAGATTCAGTACGATTTATATATATATATATATATATATATATATATATATATATATATATATATATATTAGTAAATAAAAACCACTCACACTTCAAACAGATCAAGTTGAATCTATTAAATTTAACTGATTTTCCTATACTTACAATATGGATATGGAAGATCCACCAAACGAATGGTGCAAATGGTCTCCAGTATGAACCTATTGTTGGTCACCGGTTACCATGGGACATCTCTTAATGTCGTTGCTCCACTGCCTTGCAGATTAGACCTTTAAGTCAAGGACTCCGGATGTGGCCTCCTAAGAACATCACCGAGCGGTATCCCAGCCCTCACACAAATCGAATAATTTATGTGGCCCCTAAATGACCTGTTACGGCCGAGAGTGGGGAAAGTCCGCTCTCCCTCTCGAAATGCTCTTACATGCTAGGGAAGTCCTACTCACTGCCTTCTCGTGACGGGGGTGTTGTTTACGAAATTGAGAGGACGAAAAGCGAATGTCCAGCGTTTTAACCGGGTTGGTGCACGTGGAGACTCCAAACCAATGGTGCACGTGGGCCCCAGTATCCTGAGGAACAAATGGCGAATGAACTAATTATTGGTCACCGGCTATCATGGGAATGCATCTCCTTACGATGCTCCACTGCCTTGTGGACCAGACCTCCAGGTCGAAGGGTCCGGGTGTGGCCCCCTGAGAAAACCAACTGCTTCGGTTTGGGCACCCGGTCAGTATTACAGCCCTCACACATATCAAATGAGATCTGTGTGACGCATATGTATTTGGTGTCTCTTTGTACCAATATCTATCTGTTAAAATAAATATCTATGTGCATCCTTATACCAACATTTATGTGTTTAAATAAATAAATAAAATGATAAAATACATTTTTTCAGACAACACAAATAGAATGTAAGTAAGAGATGAATCAATTCTCAATGATTCAATCAACATTAATTGAGAATCTTTATGCCGATAACAACCGTTCCCCTGAATTGTTAGCACGTTTTAAATTACAGCCAATACACACAATGTTTTAGCCTTGTACCCAAAAGAAACCTAGTTAGATTTCTTGCATGTAGAACTAGCAGGATATACTCAGACGACATAATGAACAAGGAACTAGAGCCCATTCATAATATGTTGATTGAAATAGGTTATCCACAAGGTTTCCTGAGGAAACACATGCATTTAAGAAACAGGAAAATAGCGACATCAATAACTAGTAAGAACCCTTTCTTCCTGAAGCTGCAATTCAACGGGGATATAGCTGGTGATGTGCTACGGGATAAACAAACTAGAGAAACGAAGAGAACTGATAGTGCAACTAACCCGTTTATCGTTCTCGATCTGATCTTTGGTGATTCCTCCACTAAAGGATAAGTTGCTTGGTTTCGCAACATCTGTGTGTATCTACGAATTCAGATGCTTCTGTGGAGAAATCTATTTTAGGTGTTCAAACAGACAACTCAAAAAACGAGTGAGTGAACACCTCTCTTTGAGGATGGCAAAAGTTATGACCAAAACAATACGCAGCTCTGTTCTATTACATTTGATCGGTAGCGGTCATGTAGTAGATAGAAATAGGTCATCTAAAGTGATTTATAGTATTCATACTAATTTTGCATATGAGTTCCCATCTCGTCTCTTTGACATAGCAGAAACTATAGGGATTCAACCTAACAATCCAACTCTTTCTATTCATAAGACATTTCCAACACCCTTATCTCTTTCTTGGTTTCATTAACTTTGGTAAAATATTTTGTTTAGTCATTTCCCATACCCCTTGTTCATTTTTCTTCACTCCCTTTATATATGCTCCTTTATTTAACTATCTGGAAAAGTATTATTATATAATCTTGTAGTTTTTATGAATATTATTTCAGCATCTATATATTTCAAGTCAATGACATTTCCTATTCTAATTCATCTATACTACTCTGTACTTTAATTAACACATCTTGAGCAGATGTTTGGATTAGACAAGTATAAGTTATTTATTTTCTTGGAGAAACTAGATTTGTGATTTTACATTTTCTTTAACATTAACCATTTTTACTCAGTGTTTAATAGGCTACATCTGCCAACTGGATAGGCGGATAGTATTTAGTGTTCTCTCTTTAGAATGGTCCACATTAAAAACATGCTCTAACGTCTCAAACTCAATGGAAAAAACACAATCCATTATTATATATTTCCCTGACATTGGGAAACATATGCGTTCGACTTACATGTTGGTGGAACAGGAGCAACAGGAGGTGGACCCTCAGTAAGATAACGTGATAGTTGACAATCGAACATGGCACTCGCATAAGGTGTATAAGGATTGTCAATCATTGGCATTTTCACTGGAGAATTTGATTTAGACTTTGAAATTGAATTTTTTTGGTTAGATTTTTGTGTAACAGGGTATGATTTAGGATCATCTAACTCAGATGAATACGGTATAACAAGTTGAACAATTTCTGGTGAATCAAACAGATCGTCAACATTATTTTGTAAGCCAATTAGAACAGCAGCTGTAGTTTGTCGAGCACGGATTAAATCTGAGTGTATAATGCGATCAATTCTAAGAAAAAAGATATGTGGGACATTGAAGCATTAACAGACAGTAAGAGTGAACAAATGGAACTAGAACAGTTTCATATAAGGACTGCTTATAGAATTTTAAATAAACTTGAAAATACGTGAGTGGAACATGCTCGAAAAACTAATGATAATGGAAATTATAAGAATGACATAACTATAGCAGATTAGTTTACTGTATAGTCAGTCAGTAACAACCTAGAACCTTGTACGTATGTACATCGGTTTAAGTTACCACACCCCATTAGCACAGAGGGATGAAGTTGTCAGACGAAATCCCTGAATAGTAGAGGTAGTAACATTACCAGTGCTAATAGGAAAGATTAGGCATCGTAAATACAACTCGGAAATATAAAAATTAATGAGATAAAAACATAAAACGTTATAAGGAATTTAGAATCTCAAGATTTGGGGGAGGCAAAGAATTGATGTATCTGCTCCATTTCGAACTATTTTGGGCCATTTCATCCAAAGTCTCTAACCAACGGTTACGATAATCACGCGGACCATAACCAGGTTGTCTATACCCACTAACAGGTCCAGGCTCAATTATCAGTGACTTCATCGACTGCTCTCACACGGCCTCGCGTATATAGCCCCTGCCAGGGAAGTCCTACTCACTGCCTTCTCGTGGCGGGGGTGTTGTTTACAAAAATGAGAGGACGAAAAGCGAATGTCTGGCGCTTTAACCGGATTCCAAATCAATGGTGAACATGGGCTCCAGTATCCTGCGGGAACAAATGGCGTATGAACCAATTGTTGGTCACCGGCTTCCATGGGACTGCATCTCCTTACGATGCTCTACTGTCTTGTGGTCAGGTCAAAGTCTCGGGGCGTGGCCCCCTAAGAAAACCACCCGTTTCGGTCTGGGCACCTGGGCAGTATCACAGCCCTCACGCATATCGAATGAGATTTGTGTGGAGCATATGTATTTGGTGCCTGTTTGTACCAATATCTATGTGTTGAAATAATAATAATCATCGACTGGTGACATGTTCTGGTTTGGACACCCCCAGCTTTCTTTCAGCCTAATGTTGCACCACAAAACATCACTCGTCGAGGTAAGTAGTGGTTGTCCACATGTAACACATGTCTCAAAAACCTAAGTTGATGAAGATTTACTACCTGATTAGTCGATTACCTATCTTTACCTAGTACTTTCTTCCTAGCCCAGACACTGATTACTCCGTGGTCTCAAAATGCACGAGAAATGCTTTGTAAACATCTATGATCGAATGCCAGTAACCTAAGAATATTCCCTACTCTTAATGCCCATGTTTTACATCCATTAATTAGTTTATTTTATTTTATTTGAACACATGAATATTGGTACAAGAGAGCGCCAATATATATGCGCCATTAATTAGAAAGGAGCGAACTGCTGAGCAGTTAACTCTCCCTTTGATTGGAAGACGAATATCTCCCCGACACCACAAATGGCGTCAGTTGACGAAGGCCAATTAGGAATTCTGAATTGATGCCAAGATTTCGTACATCTTCTGATGATACACAGACATAGAAACTCACAATCAACGGAGTCGAAAGCTTTAAGATCAAGGAATACTGTTTTGTAAGATGATGGGATTTTCAAGAAAGTTCTCTGGACATTATTTGTGAGTATTTAGCACTATCTAGGTAAAAACTAAACATTTTAGAATTAGGTCATGTATATCTGAATATAAGCAATTACACTCAGATTGAATAGTAGTTCTATTAACCATTCATGTCTAATTTTCCATTGAGGTTGATGATACACTTATAACTTTCCTGTTCGTCGTTTTGTCAACTTCCGATTTGATTATATTATTATAAAGAGTAGCAACTTCGACCGATACAAATTTGTGCAAGGTAATACGGTATCAGTGGGAAGCAAAACATTTGGTCAGTAAAGTGTTCAAAAGCCGACCAGTGGTTAGGAATATAGTAAGATTCTATATTTATTACTATTAAACCACAGTGAACCATGGTCACGGAATATACGATTTGATAATAAGTGGAGTTATGTCAGTGATTTAAGCACTCGACTTACTACGATTTTCAGTGGTGATAATATAGTTTTAATGCCCTAAATTCTAAAATTCTAAATCCGCATTGGTCATTTCGTGTTTTTATCTCATTAATTTATATATTTCCGAGTTGTATTTACGATGCCTAATCTTTCCTATTAGCACTGGTAATGTTACTACCTCTACTATTCAGGGATTTCGTCTGACAACTTCATCCCTCTGTGCTAACGGGGTGTGGTAACTTAAACCGATGTACATACGTACAAGGTTGTATGTTGTGACTGACTGTTAATTCTGAGTAAAAACCATGGGATTATTAAATAGGTATGATGGAATGAAGCATCGTCAAATAACTGGGAGGGTTATTTAGCTTCAATAAGCCACTTTTTATTGATGGGAATTCGTGAAAGAAGTTGCAAGCCCACTCTACAAAACAACATTGCTACATGAAAGCCTCAAGATATGCCCAATGAACAAACGAAATAATGTTTGACGGACACTAAGCTTCCATTGAAGATACTAGGACGTGTTTTAGTAGACAACAAAGAAAAACTGATGATTTAGTAGTCGTGAACAGATTTTTACGTATTAGAAAGTTAATAAAGGATCATATTTCAAACCTACAACACGTAGTTCAAAACGTTATCCAAAAGTCACAACCACATAGACAATACTTCACAATGTAAAGCTAAAACACTCAAATTTCACTGATTACTAAGATAAAATCTGCAGATGAATAGGAAGTATAAGAATTATGTACAATCAATATCACATTTAAGCCTACTTAATTCCCATTTCCCTAAGTCGACAACCTGCAGCATATGCTTGTCGCCAACCAATATCGGTGAGGACCTTTTCCTCCGACTTCTTTCTATTCAAATGATACTGTCCATGACGTATAAAAATAATTAATTTATGATAAGATTGCAGATGTTTTACTACGTTAAGTGTATCTGGTTTTAACCCGAATTTTGAATTATCGTGTATACCTATAAAAATAAACAATAAGACGATAAAAATAATTATATACCATGTGACTTATCCCAGTTGTAGTTCCAGTGTTGAATTTTCAAATCAGATCCAAGAGAATGTACACTACAGTATACGGATGCTGCTGTGAAAAATTTGAGCCCGAATGTTTTAAAATACCACATCGCAATATGTAGAGGACAAGCGTTTATGTGCAGAATTCGGTTACTCGACAGTCTGAAAGAGATAAATATTGCATCAGCTAGTTTACAATATGAATATGGAAAAAATGAACTCTTCTACCGTTTTGCTTGTAGTTTTTTACGAGTGTCATATTGGATTATGAAGTCATACTACGGGCGAAGCGGCAAAGTCATAAACGACATAAGATCTAGCACGACACTTTATAGACATGTCCGCACTACAAAAACGATAAGGTCGAAATGTTTGTTAATGGATGGACATTCCTCGATTTTCAATTCCTTTAGAATGTACGAAGGCCTGGAACTATTTAAGAGGTTCTGGTTATAACAGGTGTATCTAACTAGGTACTGAGAACAAGCTAATGAAACAAAATACCGTCCCTCCTAATCTTATGTGTTTGGATAGAGAGAGCACTGATAGCAAAGAAACATTCTGAACCGAAGTATTCAAGCCAATAGTTTTATGAAAAGTGAATTGCTGCAGGTCATGTTCTATCTAGCAAATGAAAATATGGAGCATCATAAATGAGGATCCAAACAAACCCACACATTACAAAGATTTTACGGAAATCCTCAAAATAATTGCGGAAATTTCGGGTTTACACCAATATTTACTCAAAATCTCATAAAACTTAGAAGTTCTTCACCAAAATTTAAAGAAAACTACCAAAATTCTCACAACTTTATGGCAATCCCTGAAACTTATAAATTTTAGGTAATTACTCGAAATTCCACAACGTTCCCCTAAAGTAGATAGATTAAAAAGACAATTCGCAGGACTATATATTTGCGGTCACAGATGACCTTCAGTCTTCAGTTTTCAATAGAAGTATAACAAGTTTCTGGGCCTGCGTTAATTCTTGTAGCTTGTCCTCCAACAAAGATTCTGCTTATATTTAAAATTTTTGATTGATGGGGCTGATTACACTTCTTTGGGTAAGGCTTGATCACGCATCCACACCAAATTGTGAATGGGTAATTCGTTCTGTACATTCCTTGCAACGACTTGCCAGCCTATTTCAAAAGCTTTTCAACAAACGGCGACTTCCCAAATATGACATCAAACTCGTTCATTTCTGATTAGATTGGTTTTATGCTGTTCCATTATGAAAGATTCACGGATAAAAGTGTTGTCAGACCCTGAATGTATGTGACATCAAATTGGAGGACAAACATTGCCTCGTAACTAGTAAGTTAGTTACTCACAAATGCTTATTTCTAAACTCATGTTTCCCAGAAGTCAACAGGCTATATAAGTCTACATAGAGTAACTAAGCCTTGATTATTTTTAAAAGATATATCGGTTACTATTTTGGTTTGATTGATAGGTTGATAGTTAGACACAATCTGCCCCATTCCATAATTAAACATATGGCAAAAATAGCATTTTTCCAATCCTTGGGGGGTTTAGTTATAGAAAGCTCTGTATCGGGCAGTGTCTTGAGTGATTCTGAAATGATGTCTGCTTGGAACGACATTAATTGTGGGTGTGTGAGAACTTACGTTTGGCGACTAAGAACTAAGTAAATATCTGTCGACATCAAAACGTCATAGCTCATATATTTATTCACCTCCTTATCTTGCGCATATTTTGATATTTTCCATTATCCTATCTTGAATTTTGAAAGGTCCATGTGTTTAAATTAGGAGTTCAAACTACAACTGTCGTGTCTCACAATGTGAATCAAAACCTGATCCAACAAGCAAAGTTCAATTAAATATGAGAACATCTGATATTCATGAAACCCAACTATCACTCAACAAACCCACATAACTGGAATAACCGCCCCTTGTCAGGCCCTTTAAGGTTGTTGAAACGCAACAGCGGGCGGCTTTGAAAGGATCTGACCTTTTACCGTGCCTCCAACACCTCGTCTGACTTATGATATAGATAAAGCTAGGACAACTACCAGCATTAAATTGGTGATCCCAGTTTTGAGAACAAGATATTTCTATTTCACTAATTTTTTGCTTTATGTAAATGAATTGCCAACTGTAGCAAAATCATCCGTTCTACCCTTCGCTGATGATATAAAAATTTGGAAACCAACAAACAGTGTGTCGGGTAGGATAGTATTATAGGATGATCTTGTCTCATTGGTGGACAGGTGGTCACATGAGATAAATCGGAATAAGAGTGTGGTGATGCAATTAAATAACTATGATGGATCGTATCACTGTACAATATGTGGATTCGTTCTACCCAAGGTAGGAAACTACAAAGATTTAAGAGTCATATTAGGCAGTGATCTCAAAACCACTGGTCACTGTAAGGCTGCTGCTGCGAAAAGCCATAGGGTAGTGTGGTCTGTCCGTAGGTATTTCCAGTATTTAGATGATGAAATGTTTAGATTATTATACCCGATTTACGTGTGACCACAGTTAGAATATGGGATTCAAGCAGCGAGTCCTTGTTTCAAGTATGAAGCAAATATGCTGAAAAGAGTCCAGTGACGGGGTACTAAGATTGTACGAGGTCTATCTGGCCTATCTTATGAAGACAGACTGAGACACCTTAACTTATTTCCGTTATCTTACCGTAAAATATGGGCTGATGTAATACTGGCTTATGTTATACTGAACGATGACCTTGGTAATAACATGTCTTATTTTTTACTTCCATCTGGGACTGATCATTTGATAAGACATTCGAAAAAAGTTCAAAAACTAAGATCAAATAGTTTACATCTGGATATTCGTTTCCCGCACCGAGTAATGAATTACTGGAATTCTCTATCAGAACACGTATTATCAGCACTTTCTGTTGATATATTCAAAACAAGTTTGAACCCCCACAATATTACAAACTGCAAGGATTAATATAGGTCGATAGACCCCCTCTCCATATTAATGAAGACAGAACACTGAAAATTAGTCGTGAACTTGTAATATTAACTTTAACATAAATTTCATGTGTATTTAAACCTTTTTATTGAGTAATATTTTTGTCGGAATTGGTTTTTGACTGTACTACGCATCTCGTTACTTCTTTTTTTACTCTCTCTCTTCAGCACCCTCATGATGGGCCTTCGAAAACACAAGTAGAACATTTGACATTTTCAGTTAAGCCGACTTCATTTTCCTACGCAACTCTGAAGGACCTATTACTAGACCAAGTAAAGTGCTGTAAAGTAGAAAATTTTCGTAAAATGATTCCTTAGAACATCATGAATTCCACTACATTACTACGTCATTCCAATGCAATGAGCACTCAAGGTTATGCAATGAATGACTCACTGCGAAGTTGCGAAGCATGTTACGAAGATCAGCACACGTTTGGCAAATATTTATCCAGTGGCAAGTCTCCCTCAAGTGACTCATATGTATCTCGCAATTCCAAGTGCTTTAAATATGGTGAAGTTGGACACTTACGGTTAGTTTGTAATACTACTGGTTATTTCTCCTCAAGTAATGCTAAACTGATCCTAGAAAGTTGAGTATTTCTAATGGTGACTTATCTTTATCCACGATTTTGAAAAACTGTATAATGACATAGCAGACCAGCACTAAACAAGTCTTAAGCCTTGTTAGCTTTGCATAATTCTGAAACTGAATTTCAGCCAAAACAAACATACTTTAGGTGATATTTGCCGAGGAAGCTGAAGAGACTCGGGTTCAGAAAATAATCGGAGCAATAGAATGGATGCAAATGCATCAAATGAAAGTCAGAATCACTGTGAGACAAAAGTTTCTAATCAATCAAATTCTTATCGGATTCCTCACGCTATTGTACTAGACATCGTTTGTCTTAATGATTCAAATATTTCTGATGAAATGTCTTACAAATATGAGAAAAATGTGTTGAGTGAAACTAATTATCATCAAAAACCTGATGTAGTTTTCATAGATGCTGATTTTTCTACTGTTCCATCACTCTCCAATGACATTCTTAATAAATTTGAAAAAAATATATTAGAAGATTCAAATCCTGATGACATCATATCAAATGTTATTTTCCCTCATAGCGAGTCTGTTTCTTGTGGGAAAATTGTTCATGGCAAAGTACGAGTTTTGAATGACCTCGATTGTGATTGCGATTCTGGTGATTTCATATCAGATGTTGTTTATACATATCATGAAGTCACTTCTTATGAATCCTTTGATATGTTTCAAATGAAGGCACATCATATATAACTTGGCGATATGAAGATCCAACATTATTTCGCGGTGGAGGATTGTGTTTTAAAGCCTGTAGTTTCAATTCCAAATATGAATGGTTTCACCACACAACCGACATGGTGATCGTATACACTTCCAGGACTCTGGCGAGTCCGTTCCAATTTCAGTTGTTAGTTTTATTACTAATGAGCATATTATAGACAAATACGATGAAACTAAGGAGCTGAGGTACAAGTGATTTTAGAAATTTCAAATCTCATTTGAGATGTTGCGAATGTAATGTTTGTATGAAATAATGATTCCTTTATACTTGTTGTCTGCTTGATTTCGAATTCCAAATACAATATGTTTGTTCGTGTTCATTCAATACTTTGTAGCGTGGTGTCGAGTCGAGATTGACTATGAGCACCGCTACCAAGAAGCTCGTTCCAAATGACTCCATAAAAACCCCGAGAAGCCAAATATCAGAAGGCAGTAAATGGACCAAGTTCGGATTTATTCACTGGCGATCTCGTGGTATCGAAAGGATACCGAGATCGTGCCAGGATACAAGCTTAGTTACAGAAGGTAACCGAATTCGCGCGAAATTACAATCGAAGTGCGTGAACAAGAATGGAAGCCCAATATAGCTGTCATTAGCACAGACAAAAAAAAACACTGGTACAGTTGGTTATAATAATAATTGTTTTTATCAAATCAGTCGTGTTCTCGTGACAAATGTAAGTCACTACAGGAGCCCCCCGCTAGAAAAAGCTAACACTTTCGATAAATAGCGGTTTAAATCGTGGGACTAATCGGCTGACGAGCGATTGTAGGAGGAACGGATTGGCGAACAGGAAAGCGATCGTTGATCGTCGAGTTGCCAACGAAGGTCGTTTTCGGAGAACAGTACCAGGAGCGATGTGCTGTACTTGTTGCTTGAGTTGGCATGCTACACGAGTGGTTTGTATCCAGAATCTGAAGATGGCGTTCGTAGGGAATGCGGACCAGAAACGCTGCAGACGTAGGACGAAACCACGTTGAGCCAAAAGACCAAAAGCGACCGCAACGACCAAGTTCGAGACCAAACGTATACCAAACATTCGAAACCAATATATCGACTGAGTGCGTTGACAAGAGCGTGGGTGGCCAGTCCTGCTTTCGCCAAAGTTGACTGAAGTCGACGGAACCAAACGGAGATGGTCGAAGGCGTGGGCTCAGGAAACAAAAAGAAAATCAAAAGAGAGAAGAGTGTAGCATGCGTGTAGTATAGGAATAGTCCTACACCGTATCGGTTGTTGACTGTGCGGCTAGTCACGAAAGCGTACGGGCAACCGTACTCGGCGACCGGAACGTGAGACGGTAGTCTCGTTCGCGTCGCGTGAGCCTGCAATCTCATCTGAAGTCAAAGGCGGCGTGGTCTGCTGTTCTGGACGTGAGACTGTTGTCTCGTCCGTAGATAGTGCAGATGACGCGTGCTGTTGACCGGGACGTGAGAATGAGGTCTTGGACGTATCTAGCGTGGGATCTGAAGAAGATTTAAGGATCCCGCTAGGCTTGATAGGTCTAGCATTGAATCTCAGGGTATCAGATAGGGCACTGTCATCGACGTGTGCTGGTTTGAGACGATCAATGCTGACGATCTCGACGCGTCCATATCGATCAACCTTGAAGATCTTTTCGTGACGAGCGATCACGTGAAAAGAGCCTTCGTAAGGTTGTTGCCA